GATCTACTAGGAATTATGCATTACACACAGATCAATAAAATGTTCATTGCTCCAACAAGCCAAATAACAGAAGCATTCTTCTTTGGCAATTTTGGCTTTATTTCTGAGAATTTACCCCTTGGTTACTGCTGCTCAGGGATCAAAGTAGATTTAAATTCACAGGGTTTTGATATTTAAAAAATTACAGAGAGAACCCACATAATTGCCTGGTAATGCCATGCCAATCCAGACCTAAACTGAATGAATATGTTAACTAAAATGTTTAAATATTTAAAGGAAACAGAGAAAATGCTTTAATGACAATACAAGGAAACATTTACATTATATTTGAATACATAGAAATGAGAACAGAAAGAAATATTCAAAGACCAATGTACCTCTCATCTGGCTCTTTATCATAAATAAACTGAGTTCAATTAAATATTTTAGTTGGATTTAACTTAGGGATTTCAGGCAGGTGGGCTGCAGGATCAAAAAGGATGCAGCAACAAGGCTGTGTGAATACATCATGATGATGCAGTTTAAACGTCTAACTGACAACCCGCTATTTTTTATTTTGTTTCGTCTCGTTGATAAAAACTCAAACCTATGGCTCGCCATTTTTTTAATCATCAAACATACACGTTTAGCTCGTCAGTTTTCGTTATTGTCATGAAAAAAAGGAGCGGCAACGAAATTATTTTGTTATGTCATCGTTAATTAAAACAACACTGACTGCAAGGCATAAAAAGATGGCTGGACTCGGTCAGGCTCCATTTGTGTGGCAGTGTTTTCCTACTCTCTGGCTTTCAGGTACCTTCACTGTTCTGCAGGCAGATGGCACCACTTCTGTTTATGTCTGTTCACCGCACCCAGTACTGAAAGTATACTGAGGCTCAAAGAGGACTATCAAAAAACTATCATGACAGAAGTTTGCCATATATAGTCTTGTTCTAACATGATAAAATGGTTTTTGGATTGTCGCAAAATCTGAGTTTTCAGTCTCACAACAAATCCATCTTGAAAGACTCCTGCTAACATGTCTATCTCGTAACAATCAGCGGATCAAACCAGTGACTTGCCAGCAGTGTTTTTTGAGGCAGGCCATGTAGGGATGAAAACAGTCAGAAGATAGGGGCTAACAAAAATGCCTACGCTGGAGGACTCACCTGTCAAAACTGCAATTGACTCGGTTTTAACTAAAATAGAAACAATTTCTCATTTAAAAAAAGAAGCAAAGAGAAGCACTTTGTGCATTTGTATTTGGGAAAGATATCTGTGCTTTTCTTCACAAAGGATTTGGAAAAAGTTTGATTTATTAGCTTATTCCGCAAGATGAAAGATGAAAACACGCAAGAAGCTGCAGACGAATCACACTACCCCGATTGGCTGAAAGTGTATT